ATCGCTCAGAGTGTCATGTCGTAAGAGACGAGACATGGTTTTTTTATTTACTTGTATTGCAATGTTCTCTCTATCTGTGAAATACTATTAGTTTGCAAATTCTAAGTCCCTCCCAAGGTCTCCCTTCCCCCCAAAGTTCCACGCTTAAATTAAAAACCGAAATATATCTTTTTCACTAATTTAGGAAACTGTACTATAATCAATGTACATATAATTATACATAAACTCATACACAGAAGTGCATAGGATAAAATGTACACCAAATATTAGTATTTTTGGGTGCGTTCCGTTTCTCGCATGATGCGCATGATGCATCGTTTATCCTCGTTATTCGCGAAATGTTAAAGAAGGATAAACGGATGCATTATGCACATCATGCGCGAAACAGAACGCGCCCTTAGTTAAGGCTCCTGGGTACTCACTGCAGCTATGTTGGATTAAGACATTCAGAAGCGAGAAATAACACTCTGAGAATTCTTGCGCTTTATAACTACAGAACAAGATATCTGAAAGATATCTTTAAAAAAATACAGTCTACATTATTCCAGCACAATTTCAAAATACTCCGGTAAATAACCTTTTCCCTTGACAGCCGATAAACACCCGTAAAATGTGAGTATGCTTATACACGTGAGACTAGGAATCTTGTTACATGCACATTTTACGGTTTATTGGCTGTCAAGGGACAAGGTTGGTCACCGGAGCATTTTTAAAATATGCTGAAACGATATAGACTGTTTTTTTTTATATTCTGGTATCTTGTTCTGCAGTCATAAAGCGCAAGAATTCTCGGCGTGTTATTTCTCGCTTCTGACGTCATGATTTTTCCAATGTAGCAGCGGCGAGCCCAGGAGCCTTAAATAGAAAATTATCGTTAGAAAAGTGAAACGTCAGAATTAACGTTATTCAAAGTGACGGGGGGGGGGGGAGGCACGCGCGCGCGCGCCACAGGCAGAACAATAGCTTTGCAATAAACAATTCGGACCGATGAATCTGCACGAATCCCCCGCAGCTTTGGCTCCCTCTTCGCTGGACGAAAAGGATCATTGCGGCGGACAATCGTGCGAATTGCACGCGCACTAGAAACTGCGCGTAACGCACGTGACAAGGGGGATGGCGGGGCTGCTTAAATGCGGCGCGCGTTCGGGATGAGGATCACCCCGAGGAAGGCGACTCCAAAGAGCGTGACTGATGCGGACATACAAGTAGACGTATCTCGGAGCGCAGCTGCAGGGGAGGAGGGCGGGGGGGGGGGGAAGAAAGGAGGAGGAAAAAAGAGAGAACTCACCAGCGCGCGGCAGACTCCGCCGACTCCATCCCAACGAGGTCCTCACCTTCGGCGGGGAAGAGGGCTGCACGTCCCGAGGATTGCGGCGTTGCATGGCGAGGCGGGAGAGGGA